ACGGGCAGGAGTTTGAAACTAAAATGAGCAAAGGTGTAGTGAAATGAACCTCCCAGGTGCCAGGTACTTCATTCAAAGGGGCTTGTCACCCACCTCTACTGCACAGCTTGGTGCTTTGGGGAGGTGGCAGGGCTGGAAATCTCCCTGAGACACACAGTGGCTACATCTACACTGCACACACGTTCTTATTCAAGTAAATTTACAGTAAAGAGTCAGAAAAGAGGGCTTCTTGCGCAAAAGTTATTCCTCTCGCCAGGAGGAATAAGTCCTCTTGTGCAAGAGCTTTTGTGCAAGAAGGCAGTGTGGACAGGCAACAGGGGTTTCTTGCACAAGAAACCCCTATGGCTAAAATGGCCATCAGAGCTTTCTTGCACAAGAGAACATCCACACTGCCATGGACACTTGTGCAAAAGCACATCTCTTGCGCAAAAGCACATGGCAGTGTGGACACACTCTTGCACAAGACCTTTTGCACAAAAACTCTTGCGCAAAACAGTTCTTGCACAAGAAGCCTGCAGTGTAGACATAGCCAGAATGTCTGCTTTCCAGCTCGAAGAGACATGCCTGCACCTGCTCTGAACAAGCTTGTGCACTACAAGCTGAGGTGTAGCTGTGGCAATGCAAGCAGTGGGAGGGGCTAGCTGCCACAGTGCATGCCTAGAGTCTTGGATGGGATTGCACTCGGGGCAGCTGGCCCCTCCCATGGCTCAGGCAGCCCCAACTGCATTTCTATTTTTAGCATGGTAGCCTGAGTATGTCACCTTGCACTGGAAATCGCATCTTCCAGCTTGGTAGCAGGCATGCCCTCTGGAGAAAGCTTTACTATTCCCTAAGGTAAGCCGCAGAACAGTATGCTGCAAACATGTTCTGGAAAGGCTGGCTTGGTTAGGAAATGCTGAGTGCAATTTCTAAGCTGTTGCATGCATCAGGGTAGAGTGGTGACATCTGACAAGCTGGAGGGGAAATCAGCTCCCCTGTGAAATCCCCACTCTCTTTTGCTAAAGCTGGCCTAAGGGCCTAGACTGGAGTGTGCTCTAGAGCAGGGTGTGTAGATGGGAGACAGATTTAGGGACTCACAGTGCCTAGAGTTTTGAGACTCAGACCCATCGCTAGGCAGTTGTAGCAGCCAAGGGTATGTCTACAGTGCAATAAAACACCAGGGGCTGGCTTGTGTCAGCTGACCCGGGCAGGCTGCACTCAGGCTGCGGGGCTAGAAAATGGCAGTGTAGATGTTCAGGCCAAGCTGGAGCCTACAGGGGGAGGGTTTCAGCTTGAGCCTAACCTCAGTTTATACCTCGCGGGCCAAGCCCTGTGAACCCAAATCAGCTGAGACAGGCCGAACACGGGTGTTTTACTGCAGCGAAGACACACCCGAGTGTTCAGGGGCTGTGTAGAAGCTGAGGATTGTCAGAGCACTGTCATACACCAGCCACAACCCTACAGTAGTGGTCATGGCAGGCACGTGGTGTAGGGATGGCTCTGTCTGTTCTGTGCCAGTCTCAAATGCCTCTGTGAGGAACCCTCTGATGGAAACCCCTTTGCACCACCAGCTTGGTGAAAACAGGCTGAATTACAATGTAGAGCCTGGCCCCTTATGTTTCACAGGCAAGTCGTTTAATGCTTTTTATCCATATTAACTACTGTCTCTTTACGGCAGAGAAGATCGATATTGTAGGCTGTGCCCCAAGAGGAGAATGAAGTACATCAGCCCTGTCAGTATCATGTTTTACACATACTAAAAGACTGGCAAATAGTTTTCAACATTTTTGCCTTGGCATAAAGAGTAAAATATTCCAAAGTTCCTCAATGAGCACGTCATTTTCAGAAATGACTTAGGCAAAAAGTGCTCTGACAATTGCAGGCTGACGACATTTTGGTCAAAATTGTCAAGTCCATACTAAGGCTAAATACATATGGAGGCACTAACATTTAAGTGTCCTGATTTTGAAATTTTCCTATTTTCATTGGAAGTTAGGAGCCTTTGAGGATCTGGGCCTAAGTATTCACAACTGCCATCAAAGACAATGAGACTGGTAGAGTCTCAGCACTTGTACCCATCAGCTGGTACCTACTTAAGGATTTAAGATCCTAACTTTAAACACACAGGTTTGAAAATGTTCACCAATTTGTTTTAGATTTAAAGACTGGAAGACCATTTTGATCATGTAGGCTGCATAACACAGTCATAGAACATTGGCCTATATCTTTAGTGCAGCCCCAACTGTGTTTGCTGTGAGAGCAAAGTCAAATGCTACAATGAATGTTACCCGCTACAACAAATCTGCATACATTTATTTATAGCAGTTTAATTAGTGGACCAATGTATGGATATGAGGCTGTGGTTTCTTGATGAAAATACACGAGCATGTTTCCATCTTTCAGATCCTTTTATCAAGCTCTGGGTTGAATTTTCTGTTTATTCAAAGGTCTGATTCTGCTCTCAGCCATACAGGTATGAAACAGCACTGACTCCACTGAAGTAATGGAGTCACACTGGTTTAAAAGTGATGTAAATCAGGTAAGATTCAGCCCCATCATATTTTATCTACAACAGTTAACACAGCATAGGAAACTAGTGAGTGCATATCAGATCTGCCAACACATTCACTTGAAGAGAGAAGCATGATGAAACTGTTCCAAATTGAGATGCTAATTCTGAAAAGCTTTCTTAGAAGGAGACCTGGACTACGGGTAGGGACTGGCTTTTTGGCACATTCAAAGTTTGTGGGTATTAAGATTTGGAGTTCCAGCTCAGGCTGTCCCTAGATTTTTCAGTCCTGTACTAGCTATTGTCACAGTAAGCACTTAGTGTACGTAAGTATTGCCTGCCCAGAAAGGGAGAAAAATAAAATAGTCTTCTCTCATCTATGAAAAGTCAATAATTTGACCTGGAAGTTCAAGAAATTGACAGAAGTTTCCACTGATTTCAAGGGCCTATTGACGTTTGCATGGTAACGGGAAAGAGAAAAAGAAAGAAAAAGATTCAGAACAAATTGTTCCAGTTACATCTCCCTGATTCCACTCCCTCCAATTTTTTTTAAAAAACCACCCTGATCTTTCCATTCCTCTTTATTGGTATATATTTTAAAATGCTGCTGATGAAAGAGGAACTTACTAGCTACACCCCTCAGTCTCTAATGCTCCCTCAGTCACAAGGGTCAAGCCTTGTTCTTAGCTGAGGACGTAGCCCCAGATCCTACAAGCAAGAGTGACTTTACACACATAAGTAATCCCATTGAGTTCAAAGTGTGCATGGCTACTCATGTGCACAAGCGGTTGCAGAATCAGTGCCTTGGACAGTTATAATATGGTGAAACTGGCAGCTCCCTTGCACTGTGTGTTGATAAAGCAACTGAAAGCCGCTGACTTAGTTTAGGTCCCAGAAGGCAAAGACTGAAGAACGCTCCATGTGGTTTGGCTAGAGGTACCGATACAACAATGGGAAGTTGGAAAAGGGAAGGCGAGATGGGTAAAATGGGAAGGAAAGGCAGCCTCAGAGTGGCAACAGAGGGAGAACTGATCCCATGAAAGTGATCAAAAGGCCTTCTGTATACTGAGCCTGGTAACTGGAGCCACAAGTCAGGAGCTAACCAAACATGCGGTTTCAGAAGGGTAGCTGTGTTAGTCTGTAACTGAAAAAAACTTTAAAAATAACGAATAGTCTGGCAGCACCTTAGAGACTAACAAAAATGTCGATGGTATCATGAGCTTTCGTGGACACAACCCACAACATCTTTCCAATGCACACTGACCAATAGGAAGATGCCGTGTGGACTAAGAGTTTCTTGATGTTGGTTATCTAAGTTCAGCTTCCATAGTCCTCTCTGTGTTGTGGAGCTTAGTGGGGAGGGCTTTCTGGGTGTTGTTTCCAATACTGGATTAATTATATTTAATCCCGCCTCGTTAGATATGAATGACAGTTGGAGCTGGCAAGCCCACAGTTCACCAAGGCTCCTTATGTTGCTAACACCTAAGGAACTGTGGTGGTGGTATTCACAATGATGAGAATGGGGTGTGAAAGTTCTCCAGAATAAAAAGACTAATGGTAAACAAACCATTGAGGTTTTCTGTTCTGGTGTATCTGGAATCCTTTAATACCCCGGAGATCGGGGCCTTCAAGATATGGTGAACAGGCAGATGGACAGACAGAACAAGCAGTGCAGTCTGCACTATATGCAGGTGACCTTTAGAAACAAATGTTACCTTCTGATAAATATCCTGTGGAACACAGGTGTGATCTGACTGGAGCTGGTTATTTCATTGGCAAGACAGATGGGTCCAAACTAAAATTTCAGATCCAAAGCCACCTGACTGGTTTGGGGACGACATTCAATTCCTTGGTTCCAAATCAACCCCATCGCTTTTGGTTCTGGCTTAGGACCTTTTTAAAAAAATTGAATCCATCAGCAGCCAAAGGTGTAAAAAATCTCCCAGGGAACAGCAGACCTGAGAGATCCTCTCTCTGGGGTTGAACTGTATCTCGCTGGCAGTCTATGTCTCTTTCATCTATTTCCCTTCCCAAGTGCACTCCCCATAGCCCCGCTCACTGTCTGCACCCCAAGAGCACTTTGCCAGCCTTGACACAGCATAGCTCTGGGCAGCATCATAATGAACTAAGTAGGCTTCTGAGCCTAGGCAATCAGAGTGAATTTCCCCTGCTCAAAGCAAGAGGCTGCTGGGAAGCTGGCAGTGAAGAGGCTCCCCCCATGTCGACATTAGCTGGAATACAAGATGTGGGGCCTGGTTACCAGTTCTGCTGATGCCTTGGGGCCTGTTCTAATCTGCAGGGTATTCTCAGTGCAAGGGAGCATCTGTTCAGTTTGCACGGACCCCCTCCAGCTTTGCATTAGCAGCAATTTATGAGCTTTGCACCCTGTGAGAGGGACAGAACCATAGCTGCTGCTGCTGCATTTCACAACTCTGACATGTTGTCACTCACATCCAGACATTTCCTGTTATCTAACCTCAGTCTTATCTTCCCCATTTTCAGCTTCCTCTTGAAGGAGGAGAGGCCCCTTCAAAAACGAGTGCCTTCCTGGGCTGAGCCCCACTGCTCTGCTTCTGCTCTGCTCCCTGTGTTCCCCCAGCAGGCCTGGCCCAGCACCACCGCACTTTCCCTGGGAGAGCGCAGGTACAGGTATGGTTTGTACCCGCCAACACCTCTGCTTGGCTCTACTCTCTTGTATGCTGTTAAAATGGTTGGCAAAGGGGAGAAGGGATGGAGTTTCAAAAGGGACACTTGTCTCACTCCTCCAAAGGCCTGCTACCTGGTCTTAGGGGTGGGTAACGCTTGGGAGAATGGGCATTCATTTTGCGAAGGTGGCAACAAACCACTTCTAGCCTGTCTAAAGTTGTTTTGGAGAATCTCTTTCAGGAGATTTGGGGGTTGGTCCCAGGGTGCACCCCTATTCCTGCCAGCTCTTTGCCTGCAGAGCCCTTCCTAGTAGCCCTGCCTTTTTTTCTTGGTGTATCCCCTATGTGTACAATTTGGTCTAGATAATTTCTTACCCCAGCTAAGAATGTCTCCCACCAAGATATGGAATCACATACAATATTCAAGCCTGCTTGAGGCAGATATTTTTAATGAGGCAGTTGGTGGGGAAGGGGTGACTTTTGTCTTTTCTCCCCATGCATCCTTGTCAGGGAACAAAATGCAGCTGATTTTGCCTAGGAGTTCTGCACTTAGAACCATAATTAATTTATGATGATGATGATTTATTAGTGACTGTGTATATAGCTCCTAAAGCATTCCTGGTGTTTTACAAAGACATAACAAGCATGTTGTTGGCCTTGAAGAGATTTCAGTCCAAATGAGACATAGAAGAGCCAGGGCTATAACTAGCAAGGAGCAGAGGGAGGTGATCCAGGCAGAAGGAAGTTTCCGCCTGTGAAAGATCATGCAATAAGTTAGTGCGCATGCCCCGCTGGCTGGGTCCTTTTCTCAAGCGCTGTGTATGTGAATTTTAGCATTTTCCCTCCCCTTTTCCCCTTTCTTAGAAGTTACTGAAGCAAAGAGTTTGAGCGAGCAAAGTCCAATGGGAGCGCAGAAGAGGTGGGGCAGAGGCCAGCACTGGAAGGTGAGTTTCCAGGTGGGATTTGGAGGAGTCAGAGACATGTAATACTAGCAATAATTAGTGTTGTATCAAGCACTTCTACATTGCTTTGTCGAGAAGCATAAATTATCATGTGTAAATTGCAAGTCTTCTGACTTTCAGGCTCTCAAGCCATTTTTACAGCACTCGCTGATCCCTCTGATTTATCAGACTCTGAGATTATCCGTGTACTGATCAGCTACCAAAAGATTCCCCTGTGCTTCTTGCTTAATCTTTTCTGCATCTCTGACTGGTGTTGCAAATTAGAAAGCCGGGGGTATTGTGTGCTTTTATGTCAGCCACAATGAGATGTCAGCAGTAAACTCTGGATCTAGTATTTGAGTATCTTAAAGTTTGTTTTTTTGGGTGAGAGGGGGATGTTTGTACCTGGATTATTAGTTCAAGTCCATCCCTGAAATGTAGTTTAACTGGCTGCATTTTGGCTAATGGTCCAAATTGTCCGAAATAAATATTGTACAGGATTGTGAGGGTGAGAGAAAAAAGTTTTAATACTGGGTGCTTTATACAATTTGGGCCAGAAGTTGATACTCTTCCTTGCATGGAATAGCACCCTGCTCTGTGAATAGAAATCCATCTGTAGAGTAAATTGCTCCTCAAGTTAAGAAGGGATACCAGAATTTGGCCGTATTATTTCATTTAAAACAGCCGCATAGATCTGTGTGGTGCCCTGTTCTTCTCTCATACATGGCAACACAGCCCACGTACAGCACTGTACAAAGACAAATGGACATGTTCCCGCTGCAAATAGCTTACCATCCAAGTTAAGGTGCAAGCAACAGGAGAAGATGTCAAAACAGGGAGGAAGAGGCAGAAAGGAAGGGCATGTGATCATACGGTTGCTGGGGAGACAAATGCATGTACCTTGGTGGGTTGAATTATTCCATATGGCACTGTGGCTTATAAGCCTCTTTGGAGAAATGAGGTTTTGAGAAGAAGGTGGAGGATCCAGATGGGTTGGCAGAGGTAGGGAACCAGGTGAAAGACCAGAGGCAGGTGTGAGGAAAGGAGAGAAAAGGGACATTTAGATGAGTCGCTTGGGCTGAATGAGGAAAAGTGGCATTTCTGACAGAGAATATGACAGTGGCCTGGGGCCTACATCTCTGTTCTAAACAGCTGACATAAGTCAGAACAAAACAACCCTGATCCGGAGGGGAAACAAGCCATGGCAGGAAGATGCTTGGGGGAACATGTCAGTGTTGTTATAAGTTTCCCTGCATGGGCATCTGAATGGAGATCACTTGATCCCGGTCTCAAAACGAAGAGAGCAGCCCGAGCTGTTCCCTGGGGTTGCCAACCTTGGTGATAAGCCGAGCTAGTACCCTGGGCTCAGCACGCCAAGCTTCTTGGGATGTCACCAGTCTGGTTCCGGGTGCCACAGCAGGAGCCCATCTCTAAGTGGAACGCTCTGGGCTCCATTGCGCCTGGCCCCTGCACGGAGGGAATTGATGTGGGAGGAGCCTCTCCCCACATGCACCTCTGTGCAGAGGTGGGGCACAGACTTTGGGCCTGATCCAAAGTCTCCTGAAGTCAGTGGGAATAAATATTTGGTTTGGTTTAGTGCTATTGGCCCTACTGGATTCTGCAGAGAAGGTGAGGATGAGACAAGACCGTAACCTACCTCTGCTCCCTCTGCCACAGCCAGCAGAGGTGGCCCCAGATTGCTGCAGTGGAGACCCTGCTGAGCTGGCTTCCAGGTGGCTACCTCAGCAGAGTTTCTAGAGCCAGCTCTCTCCCAGAGCCTCTCTGCTGCAGCTTCACTCTGCCCCCTACAGTGCATCATTGGTTACAGCCGCCATTCAGCCCTTAAACAGGAGAGTTCCAGGAATTCTAGTGCTGGGGAAAATGCAGCAGTGCCTCCTGTACAACCAGGAACCTCTCCATTGTAAAAAGGTCCAGAGCAAGCACACAAGGAAAGCTGCCACATGGCTTTTGCAAGCTCTGAGCTGCTGTTGCTCAACTCTTGCAAGGAATGGAGAGCTTTATTTACGGCTGACAGACCTCTTTTCTACTTGGATTCAGCATATGGGAAAGGCAGCCCATAACATGATCAGCCCTCATTAGCAGGGGGCAAAGCATTTGCTGTTCTGCAAGATGTAAGCAAGCAATGACGCTTGTCAGCCAGAGAGCAGGCATCATTACGTACTGGGCATGATACGTAAGCTGTTGCTCTGTCTGAAACGTATTAACCATCTAATCCAAATTCACAGATGTGCTATTGCAAAAATGGTTTTGGATACAGCCTGGCATGACTGCTGCCTTGTAAATCTCTAGCCCTGATCTTTTCTGGGGCATGCCTGGTACTTGTAATTGAATACTTTGAATCAAATCCTGTGATCTGTATTCAGGTCAACTTCCCATTGGCATCTACCATAGTGATGAGGGCAGATCTCCAATGGAATAGAATAGGATACAAGAGGATGTTTGATTAAATAAAAGCTTCAGGATTTGGCCCAGTGATATGGGGAGGGAGAGAAGGACTCAAAAAACCTGATTCTGATCTCACTCCAGCTTTAACACAGTATAAGTCTGTGGAGTTAAATGGAGTTACTCTCGATTTATGTCTTGTGAGAGGAGACTCCAGTAGCAGCTACAGTTGGTAGGGGGTTCTGCAAACCCAGCTCCGCACAGGTTCATGTGGATTTTTGCTCTCTTAATTTTGATTAGAAATTTGTGTTTGAGTGAATATGGGAATTGGAGATGAGCCTGCCCCTGAGCCCCGGTTCCGAGTGCAATGAGCCTGAGACAAGTGAGAACCGAACTTCAGTTCTTGCACACATTTCCCCTGAAAATGCAAAGAAACTCACAGTCAAAATGCAGGCACTTACAGGTTTGGGATCAGATCCATCCGGTTTTGTTATTTCCTTCAATCACCACTTGCACAGAGACTAGGAAGACAGTCCTGTAAAATTTCCAAGAGAGATCACATGAGGCTGATATGCTACACAGCAGGCTTTTTAAAGTACTAGCCTTTTGTGCCATTCACAAGGTATCAAGAATGCTCCTGTTTGGTTTCACTGGAAACTGTCCTATTGATTGTTAAGTCTGCTTTTTAACATCAGGCTTTTCCTTGGAAATACCCATTCCAGCTGGAAACCAGAATTCCTGTCCATAGTCCACCCAAACAAGATACCACCAATACAGGGTGGGGAGTAAGATCCACTCCTGTGTTCCACAAGAATGATCTTTACTTTGTGACACCCTGTCTTATCTGTTGCTGACAGCGGCATTTTAAGCAGCTCTGTTTTTCCCTTCTGAAAGCCACAATGGGCAGAGTATTTTAAGACATACTAACAGCAGCAGTTGTGCTCATTTTTTTTAAAGAGCCTTCTTGAACTTCATGGCCAACTCCTGATCTGGTGTACGTTAGCAGAGCTGCACTGAAGTTAACAGAGCTATTCTGATTTACACGTTTGAGTAACTTCCACATCAAACTTAACTGGAAAGAGTTTTCTTAAAACCTTTGGACTGCTTCACAGTTAGTTTAATGAAGCCTTCATTCTTCTCTCCCCAGGTGTATAGGGAGAAAGATGCCAAGGACTGCACAGTGTGCAATTAGTAATAATAAATAACTTGCATATAGAACCCAATGACAAATCCAGGAAGAGGAGCCAAGCACCAGCAGCCTAGTCCCTGCTATCACAGTTAGGGAACTTCAGCATTGCCAGAGTTGATCTGTGACTGTGGCTACATTAGAACACTTGTACTGCTGTTAAAAGCAGAATAGTAAGACGTGGCAAACACCACACGTAAACCACTTAGATTACTTTAACTTCTGCCTAACCCAATTTCACTTAATGCCATAACTTACTGGATTGATTTTAAATTGGATCAGTTACATTGGCACAAATTTTCTAATGTTGACAAAATCCAGTCCTGTTGGCTGTTTCGAATGAAATACACCCCGAGACAGAGCACAAGCATAAGGACTATGCTTTGGTAAAGTCCCATTTTAACCCTTACTTGAGTGTCTACATAGAATTTGCATAGATCTTATGCTTACTGTACACGGGGGGCATTTCATCCTTGGAATGCAGGCCACTTATTGTTGGCTCTTTGTTGCTCAAAGAATTTGAGATGGCAAAATTTTGGGTTCAACATTGACACGTATTTTTATTTTACATGTAGAAAAAAATACATCGGGGGCGAGGGGGAGAGAGAGAATGTGTAAAATAACACATGGGTGATTAAGATCATCTCCTCATCCCAGACATTAGAATTCAGACCTACTAGATCCCCCTCTCCATTTCACTGCCAGTTTAACTCAGTTTAATCTTGCTTTCATCTCCTTTAAAGGTTTTCAGTTGAGTTTCTCACTGCGATATCAAAAATAGCCTGCTTATTTTCTCAGAAACTTGGTGCCACCGGTCATGTGAAATAAAAAGAAGAGATCTCTGACAACAGTGAAATGTTTCATTTTTAAAAATAGTCTGTGCTCAGGCCTCTATCACACAGCATGTGAATAGCACTGAAATGGTGTGACACAGGATAGGGTTCTTCCCCTTCCCCTCTGAAGCTGTGATAGATTTTCTTATAGATTTTCACTGCTTCACAATTTCAAGCATCAACCTATATTCTGAGCTGCTGTCCTCTTACGAGCACATACATGTTAGTACATTTTAGCAATGTTTTACCTCTTACAGACTTGGCACTGTGAATTTTTTTTAAGCAAACTATTGACTGAATTGTTTTTAAAAGGATGAAGGCAAGGGAACTGCCTCTGCATGCGTGTGTGCAGAGGAATGGGGGCGGACAAAAGGACAAAAGGACCGGGGGTCAGCAGTAGGGAGTTATGTTAGATTATGGGGAAATAAATTGTGCTGGCAGTGGGTAGAAATCTATACTTGTTCATGGGGGCAGGGAGAGGGAGCTTCATAATACAGGCAGTAGAGGGCACAAAAGGGTTAATTTTGACACTAGAAAAGAAAGTTCCTACGGTCATTCCTGAAGAAATTGATTCTTTCTTTCTGAGATCCCCTGGCTGTGCAGCAATAGAGAATTAGGACCCTTACAACATTACTGCCAAACAGTGCTGCCCAGTCTAGGGTGACATGCTTGGGACTAAGAGTGGAATGAAGGCAAGAAGGCTGCTGCACTGAAATGTTATTGAGCTGTTTTGTTTTGCTTGGAGGGGATTTTTTACAACAGTGAATACCTTTGACGTGGGACTTTGATCTGATCCTGCTAATACTGGAGTCAAAGGCAAACCTCCCATTGATTTCAAAGGAAGCAGACTTATTCCCTACATCTCAGATAGGCCTGCGGGATGGGGTGTCTCTTTTTCAAATGCAGATGGCCACTTCCAAATCTGAGTGCTCAGTCATCTCAGCACTTAAACATCAAGGTTGAAACCCTGATTGCATTGTTGTCAATAGGAATTTTGCCATCAACTTCCATGAGGCCAGGATTTCATCCCTAATGCCTGCTTTAGATATACAGGCCAAGAATCACAAAGGAATTTGGGTTCCTAACTTCCATGATGGACCTGGGCCATAGGCCCCAGTTCAGCAGCATGCTTAAGAACATGTCGCATTGGCTACAATGGGATGACTTTACATGCTTGATATTAGAAAGTGTTTAAGTACTGTACCTTGCAGATTTGGGGTTGCAGGTGACCAAGTGATCATTGGAAAGCAAAATTACAGAAGGGGTTCTAATTAAGGAGCCTAAATTTGAAAATCCAGGCTGGTTTCTCACACCTTATGAAAGTAATGAAAAATACAAACACTCTGTTAGATCATCTTGCGTGCAACCCCATTTGGTACAGAAAAGTTCCCTGGGGTATATTCTCCAGGCCATTGTCTAGACTATTACTTATAAAAAGGCCCTTATATACCTGGATAGGCATTAGCCTTCCTACCAAGGCACTCAAACTCTACATCTGTGTGTGTGGCTGGTCCTTGCATACCAGTCCTTTGGGCCAGCAAGACACTCAGATCAGCTTCTGTCTCTAGGCATCAATCACAGCTCCTCTGGCCCAGCTTCACAGTTCACAGATCAATATATCTGATGTGAACTGGGCAGAAGTCAACACCTGCTTATTTGGCTCCCCTCCTTACCAGTTAAAGGGAGGGATTTTCCTAACCTGTAATTGACAGAATTTCAACCTTTCTTTTTCCTTCCATCTAGGTTGTCACATCACTGAAGGTTTCCCAGGCGATTTGCCCAAGCCCCGCAGTGCTGCACTCCGTGTATTTGACAAGCTGAGTTTGACACTCAGTGTGGCAGAGTGTCAGTTTGTCAAATACCCCAAGTGAGGCATTTGCTTAGCAACACACATCAGCGCCGGAGAAGATTGATTATTTCGTCTTCCTTGGACAGGAGTCTTTTATTTAATATTTTATCTCAGTTGTAAATACAAAGAGTTACCTAATAGCTACATATTATGCTTTGCTTCCTGTGCTAGCAGATTTCTTTAGTGCCCCAAATTCAGAAGCATTGGTGTAAACATGGATTTTAATGGTGAGTTTCTCCTGAAAACAGGGCCAGACTCTTTGTTGGCACACTTCCTTTGAGTTTCACAGGCAGAGAATTTTGCCCAGAGTTCCTTGTTTCTTCACTCTGTAACCAAAGATAATGCTAGTAAATGAAGTACCGGTAATGATGGCAACTAATAGATACGTTAATTTGTTGTATGACAATGGTTTAGTATATGCAACTAAGCTAACGGTTAATGCAGCTGGAATCACACTAACAATAGCATTGCTAATAACAGAGTTTCTTCATCAGATATGTTGAAATATTTTTATTTAATCGTGCAATATGCAGAGGAAATAGACTTATAAGGCTGTTATTTCATTTCCCCTCCTCTCTACCAGCCAATATAAGATTGTTCCCTGCAGTGAATTTGCCTGTGGTTTGTGGAGTCCAATTTTAAATGACTCAAGCAATGGGGATTTCATCACTTTGCTTAGACATTGTAGTGAAATAAATCATGTTTTGGTGAAGCCTCCTTCTCTTCAGCCAATTACTCCTAGTAAGATCTCCTAGCAGTGCTGCCTTGAGTATTTGCTGTAACTCTGCTATTGTATTGAAGATCTCCCAAGTCAGCTTAGATGAGGAAGACCTATTTATTGGCCTCCATTTTCAAAAATGACTTGCCATTTTGTGTGGGACACCATAAAGAGGTCTGATTTTTCAGAGGTTGGGGTGTAACATATTTAGAAAATCAGGCCTTTTAATGGTGTCTCGGGTTGGATACTCAAAAACTGAGCAAGAACTCCAAATCCCCATTAGTCATTTTTGAAAATAAGGCCACTGATACTTTGCTATTGTAAAGAGTTTGATAGAAAACAACTCTTCTCGCTGTTCCTGGAGTGGAATCAGCAGCCACTTGTGCAATTAATTAACACACACATATACTTTCATCTTAACCTTTCCTTTTTTTCTTTAGCTTAAAACTATTTATTGTAAAATTATTTGGAGATACTGAGCATTGTATGAAGAAGGCTAACTGCAAATAAATTGTAGTGTGTTTCCAAGTGAATAGCATGCTTCTGAAAATCTACATTGGGGAAGGGGAACTTTTTTTGGTTGGGAGTCGCTGACCCATAGAAAAATCAGTCTGGGGCAGCACACAAGTGGGAAGCAAAACAAAAACAAAACCCCCACTGATTTGGCCCCTGAATGAGAAACAGAAAGATATTCCCCATGTTCTCGGGGTCTAGTGGTCTAGCTAGTAGATTTTTGTGTGCTCCAGACCCATGGTGGGGTGGAGTGCCAGCGCGGACTCCCCAATGTTGGGGGGGAATCCCTGAGCTTTGGGGGCCAGATCCAGGCAAGCTGGGGGCTGCATTCAGCCCCCAGGCCTTAGGTTCCCCACCACTGATCTGCATAATAAATCTGCAGTGTGCATCTGAGCAAATATGGCCCCAGTCATTCTGACTCAAACTGTCCATCCTGGGTTCTCTTTCCAGTCCCTACAGTTGACTCATAGACAGTACTCACATCTTAATAATAATACAGGAGGCCCCTGACCCCTCGCACTTACAAAAATGGTTGTAAGTGCAGAAGGGGATGAAAACCCTCGACTTACATGCTCGGCCCATGGCGCCTGTCGTAAATGAGGGTTCGAGTTACGACACCCCAGACTTGCGACACTTCCCCAGGAACCAATCACATCACAAGTCGGGGGCCTCCTGTAATTTTTATATAGGCATTCAGTTTTAAAAGGGTATAAGGTCCAGTGTTCTGATTTTCCATCTCTGATAATCCAGAAAGGGATACATTAGAGCCATGTCCATGGAGCTACAGATGTTGAAGCCAGCTGAAGGCACATCTGAGGATTCATTTTAAGTCCCTTACGCCATCTTTTTTCCCCAGAGTTTACCTCAGACATTCTTACTACTTGGTCTCTCCCCCTTCCCCTTCTAAAATTTCTAGGAGCAGATCCCTCAATTTCTTCCAGGCCTAAGGAGGAAGCAGGGTTAATCTCTTCATCTCTGAAGGAAGAGAATTAATCCCTCATTTTGGTGGGACAAACCCTACTGTCTTTGGGGCAGCTCTCCTTTCAGTCCCCATCAAGATCTGCGGCTTTTCACCACTCCTGAAAATCAGGATGGGGACAGGCATACAAAAGTTAATGCACCCCAAATTAGCAGACACCTCAGAAAACACTATCCTAAATGGCCGCATCACAACCCCACTTACCCATATAATTCTCTGACTGACCCATGACATAGTCTGCCCTCAATCCCGCTCTTGCAGGGGCACTGATATCAAATCAATGGCGTTGCCCAGATGCTGGCAAAGGCAGAATTTGGTTCTAACAGCCACTGACAAGTATTGTGCATTTAGTACACAGTGTTGTTTCACAAAGGAAGCTGCGGTTTTTCTCTGTGCTTTGGCTCAGATTCTGGAGCTGACTGGATTAGTCAGATCATCAGGTGAGCGACCAGTGCAAAGAAAGGAGAAGTTCCCTTGTTAGCAGGAGACACAACCATCCCCTTTCCCTTCTCCTTCCCCCTCCCCCTTCCTTGCAAACCCTCCTGACTTTCAAGGGAAAATGTCCTGTTCTGGCTGGTGTCTCCTTCTCAGAAATCACATGCCGGCTGCAATGAGGGAAGTAACAGTTCAGGGCCAGAAAGGAAGCTGCTTGGTGCTTTCAGGGCACAAAGCCTCGGCCAATACCCCTGGGCACTCTAAGATCCTCTCCAGTCATGGGCGTGTGTCTCAGCCCTCTTCAGCGTCTTTCTCCACTCTGCTCCCCACCCCATGGTTTGAACCACAGCTTCTGCAGGGGCAGCACAAAGCTGATGCTTTCTGCTGGGGGGGGGGGGGGTGAAAAAAAATTGCAGCCCCCTTTGCAGCCTCCAGGCACCAGCTGGTGCAAAGTAGCCACAATGCAGAGCTGAGTTTCCTCCAGATGCCCCTTGGAACATTCCCTTCTATTTCTTTCCAGCGGTGCATGACCCCTCTGTTGCACTTGATAAAAAAAGCTTCTCTGCTTCTCCAGTGGTTGCCAAGGAGGCATGGGCAGGTGCCAAGAGCTATTAAACAATAAGAGGCTTATTTCTCAGCAAGTGGCACAGAATGAAGTCTACACCCTGGCACAGCAAGCAGCGATCAACCCCCTCAGCTGCAGTACTGTTTAAATAGAATCAGACCCTTCCAAATGCTCCTCCAACCCTCTTAAAGGAGGTGCAAACTGCTGTACTATGACACAACCGTGAACTGTTTAGTCCATAACCCTGTCTCTAAGAATGGCCAGAAACCTCAGATCCCCCATTATGCAATACTATTCCAAGGAAAGAGGGAGAAAACATGTTTCTTCCTGTCCCTGGTTGAACTCATGAGTAGCAGCACACAAGGACTGACAGACCTAGCACTTGTGACCAACACCACAGATGCTATTGTTAGCTACAGAAGGCACTGGTTTTATAAAAGAGCAGCATACAAGTCATGTCAAGCCACAGGCTAGCGTGGGAGGCAAGAGGGAAGGGGTGGAGTCAGAAACACCCTCACGCACACAGGAGATGGCTAGGGAGTAGCTCAGCACATACCCCCAAAAAACAAGCAGCCGGGAAGAAGCAAAAGGGACACAGACAAAGCGATTGAGTCAAGAGCATCATAAGGCAGAAAGCAGCATATTTGGCTGAGAGGGGGGGAGCTAAGAACCTTTCTCACACCTTTCAAGGAAGGAATGTTCCTCCCACTTGGTTTTTGCCAGAGATCCTCAAGCTCACTTGGGTATAATAAAGGAGCAACTGAAAATAAGCGAGGCAGCCTATTTATACATTACAAATGTTGCAAACATGCATGGGTTTTTTTTAAAGCCCATTTCCTCAAACCCCAGCTCCTGGAATCAAGAGATTCCACTTTAAATAACAAAAGGAAGCTGTAGCCCTCCTGCTCATGGAGATAAGCTTGCAAACATGAAGTGAGTGCACCCTGAAAGCTCAGAAACCCAATGGAAGATAAAAAGAACCCCAAATTGCTTTTTTTAAAAATCCCATCTCATAATTTGTATGTTTCAAGTTAGCAGGACTGCTGGGCATGCAGGGAGGCTGACTAAGCAGCTCAAACACTCCAGTCTCAAGCTCCAGCAGCTTTATTTAAAACAATAAACCCACCAGGAAGAGCTAGAACAAACAGGCTCCTAACCTCAGAGTGTGTGTATGGGGGGAGGCGGAGGGGGAGGGCAAGAGGGGGAGGCAGGCAGAAGGGTGTCCTTGCTTCTCCCTCAGAAACAAGCAGAGTAGCCTGACTTGTAGTTGAAGTTCCTTTCTCACAGGCCTGTCATGAACAGCTCCTTCCAATGGCCATTACCTCTTTAACAAGCATCAGTAGCCACTCTTCCCCCATGGTTTCTGGGCCTCAAAGAGCCTCACAAGAGAGTGTTTGCATTTTTGTTTCAGAGAATCTCATTTCCTTTCCTGAGCTTCCTTTTTTTCCTATCACAGCCCCACTGACTACTCCATTCTCCTAAAAGCACCTCTTAATCAGTCTGCTCTGCAAAAACAAGTTCCCAGACTGCTACCATCTGCCCTGCCTTATCTTTTATGGCCATGCCCCCACTAAGCCCAGCTGAAGTTGATTGCATCCCAACTTGCTGCAGCTTTTAACGGTCCCTGCCTGAGTAGGTGAGGCAGAGAGGAGATGTTAGTAACAAACTGACTGAGGAGTGATGTGTCTTTATTAACCCTTAGAACAATGCCCGTTTCCCAGGTACATACCCGAAGAATGGCAAATAGGCCATGCTGTGCAGACCAGATCCATAGACCAAGCAGAAGCTCTACCATGAGGTGAGAGGTGTTCAGATGTAGGGTTCTCGTTTGGCCAGCAGCAGAGATGGGCCCGGGTCACAAAGGATTTGAATTGTCCCTAATTTTGTGACAAAAGTTAGTGTGGGCTGGTTGAGGTTGGTGTTCTGGTTCAACTGTACTTGGAGCTGATTGTTTCCACAGGCAGTTCTGTGGTCAGGCTGGGGAACTAGTGAAGAAAAGGTTCTGGCAGTTGTGCAGTGGGGAAGGACAGCAGCCCAAGAGGGAAAGACGTTGCTCTGGGATGGAGGAAGCTTTGTGGGGTGGTGATGTAGTCTAACAACACACCAGTGCCATCCATAGCTTGTCTCTTCTTCCGGGGCCCCCACAAGTGACCTCTCAGCCAATTGATAGACCTATGAAAGCAAGCAGACCATCAGAGTCCATGTGTTCTAGGAAGTACTAAGGGGTCACAGGGATGACCCTGAAGAACTGGAAGCAGACTCAGTAAATAGGTGAACCTCTTGAGAATACAGTATTACTAACTCCCATGATACTTAGTGTTATGTCCTGGGGAGTTTCACAGCATAGGAAGAAATCAGTGGAAAGGCAGAGAGCTGGAGTAGGTGCAAGTGTCCATTTTATTGCATAGCACAGAACTCACTAGAACAAGCCCAGACTAGCTGGGCTGACCCCAGTGACCTACTCAGTTACCATAACAAGAAGATCTATATCTACAACCCAATATACAGCACTTAGTGTCTTTCATAAAGCTCCAGTGTCGGGAGTCTACTGATTGCATGAGAATCTTGGCTTTCATTTTTTAAAAAACAGTAAGTTTCTAGTCTAGTTTTTACAATGGTCTGATTTTGGGGGACTGACATGATTGTTTAATACTTGGCGCTGGTAATATTCGGATGTAGCAAATCAAACATAAGCAAGGAGCAGCTTTGCAGAATCTCTACGTATTGGCTTCCTAAGGCACTGTTTAGTAACAGCCAGACCAGGCAATCTCTTTACAAGCTTTGCCCCACAAGGACTCCTAGCCTCTTTAGGGATGAATGGGTGATGCTCTTTGGCCTTTCTGCAGTTGTTATTAATTCATTTATTTACCACACTCATTTCTAAAGAACTGCTCACTATAAAAAGTGGACACCATTCACACAATGTAGTTGATGCAACACTTCCTGGTGTGTTTTTTGCTCTGTGCTCCATTTCAGCCACTGCTCTCCAGATTGTCAGTTGTGTTGGTGCATTTTATCATGAGCCTCTCTCCACTAGGAACTGGCCTGAGAGCTGCTCGTTTCTTCACATTGCCCGTTGGAATGCTGTTACACAGTGATAGCTTTTGGCCACCTACAACCCAGGGCTGGATTTGAATTAGTGTCCTTGAAGTGAAAAAGCTCACTGCACTCACTGCCAATTCCCTGCACCAGCCATGGCTCATGAACATTGTTTTTATTGGAGTGAACTTAAAAAAACAACAAATAGTCTAGTAGCACCTTAAAGACTAACACAACATGTAAGATGGTATCATGAGCTTTTGTGGGCACAACTTCACTCCTGTCATCTGAAGAAGTGGGCTGTGCCCATGAAAGCTCATGATACCATCTACATGTTGTGTTAGTCTTTAAGGTGCTACTAGACTATTTGTTGTTTTTTAAATTCACCCTGTTACAGACTAACTCTACTACCCCTCTGAAGCTTTTTATTAGGGTTGTGAAGGAGGCACTTGCAAAAGCTCCCAGGTCTAGTGTAGTTATTGGCTAAACAGTGCCTCCTAGTGGTCTAACTAAGAAACAGGTACCTCGGGGAGTGAGAAGATAGAACTGGGCAGAGACTTTATCTCCCCAGCCACTTCCTCTCTGTCTCTCTCCTTTCATGCTCTGAGATTTTTACCTACCTGACTGCTGTAAATTAGGACCCCAAGAGCCTCACCCAGATAGAATTCAGATCAGGGGTTTCTAAAATAAGAGAGATGACATCCATTGACTTGTAAAACATCTTCCATTTGGCTTAAGGAAGGAACCCCATTCAGAAGGGATGAGAAATAATTGATTTGGAAAGGAAAGGGGAAGGGAGGTGAGGTGGAGTATGTTATTGGAGATAAGCCTGGGTCTTCTCAGCTAGCTGAAAATTTCTATCATTTTTTTCTCAGGGGGAAAATGTCTTTTTGGCTGTAATAAAAATATTTGCATTTTTGTTTTCATTCAGGTTTCTTTTTTAAAAGTTTTGTTTTGATGGAAATAGAGTTTCTTTAAGAACTGCTCTGCCCCTGGCTCAGCAGGTCTGACAGCTGCACAAAATAGTAAAACCTTATGTGTCACTAGAGTAAGTAGCTGTAAGTCAACTTTCAGGACTCAAGCTCACATGTCCTCTTGTGCTGTCACCACAAGGGCATGCAAGCTGCAGGATTATGAAAATTTGTGTGAAGAGACTGCACTGTGACTGTGAAAATACCATTGAAGTTTATTTTGTGTTGGGCACATTGTACCCAAAATCACTCTGCAAAGTTACACCAGACAAGAGAGCATGGGGAATCAATTGTAGGAAACAGAATGAGAGTACAGTAGACTGCCGATAATTCGGAACCTTTGGGACCGATGTGGTGCCAGATTATCGGATATGCCGGACTATCAGGAGGTACTATAAATGTGTGTATATATATATATATATATATATATATACACACACACAGTATATATTGTATATAAAGTGTTTTTAACTCTTTTTATTGTAGCACAAGCACTGTCCAGCATCACACAATGCCAGTGGCAGACTGACTCAGTTGCATCTGGTTTCGCTCGGTTCAGCTGCTGCCGCTGCTGCCTTGTGATTCCTTTTTTACTGAAGCTCACTCATTAGGCTCTTGCCATTTTGATGCCGGACTATCGAGAGTACAGTACAATTGGATGCCGGACTATTGGAGTTTTACTGTATATTGGATTAATGAAACAACAAAGTAAACAAAGTTCAGGTTCAATAGACTCCTTGATATCCTTTTGCTTTTACCATGGGAGAATGTAAAAATACTCAGCACTCACCAAGTACTTGTTATGCTAGGCATTTTACAAACATGAAAGCCTCGCAACAACCTTATGAGATAGGTCAGTATTAGTATCTCCATAACACAGATGAATAACTGGTGCAGGCAGCTTGAGACCCATGCCAAAGGCTACGCAGTGAGCCAGTGTCAGAGCCTGTGTCAAAGCTCAGGAGATTCTGGTTCCTGAACCTTTGCTCAGATCAGTAGATCAAGCCTCCCTTTCCTTGCTAAGATATGACTCAGGATGACAAAGTTATGCAACATTCCTAAGAACAGTATACTGTGTTCTTATTCCCCTCCCTTCCTCTCCAAGTCAAGTTGTAACATCCCCCACTCTGATTTTCTAGGAAAGAAAGATGCCATTTCTTCTAGCAAACAGCTCCAATTTGACACACCCTGGACATCAACCAAACCGTCGTGGTCCCTTTGCTACCCCTCCCCACAAGATCGTCCCCACCAATATGCAAAATACACAGTTGCATAGGTCACCACAGAATTTGGGGCACCAATTTGCTCCAAATTCTGTGGTGCCCTAAGCAGCTGTGTGCTGCATATAGGGTAGTGCCAGATCTGCCCCTTCTCCCAAACCCCCTACCCTGACACAGCGCAGGAGACTGGAGGAGGCCTGATGCTAGCAAGAGGAGTAAGGCCTGATGCCACACTGACAAACAGTGGGAAGTGGAGTAACCCAGCTCTAACTCGTTCTGTTCTGCCAGCTCCCAGCCACATCATTCCACCTCCCAGCGCCAGTGAGTCTGGGGGACGGTTCCATCCCTTCCCCTGAGCACCCTCCCTTGAATGCTGAAGCTGGGAGTCTGAAGAGCAAAGTGAGCTGGATCCAGGTTGCTCTGTTTCCTGCTGCTACCTGTGAGAACAGGGACAGGCCTGACCCCTTCTGCCTTCCTGCCCTGCTCCTACTACCCTCAGCTCTGGGCCTGACCCCCAGAGCCTTGATCACAGTCCCGCTCCTCAGGCCCCATGCCCATTTGGGGCTGGCATAGAGCACCAAAACTTCTAGGAATGACCCTGCCTCCCCACTCCAAATTTTGGGGAGAAGACCTGAGTGCAAGCAGGATGTAAAATCAGTGGTTTAATTGTAGTGGAGGAAACCAGAGAACTTTCCTCCTTTTAACAAAGCTCCCTGGCCCTGAACATTCAATAACTTTCACGCCAGAGAATGTACACATATCACTATAGATCTTTTTATTGTCTTCATGATCATTTGCTAGATATGTAACAATCCACTATTTACCCTGCTCTGTGGCTTCAAGCCTTTTGTGTAGCCCCTTGATCGCTGACCCCCGTCCTCCAGGATGCTTATAAATGAATCCCTGCATACACCAGTCAGATTAACTGCCTTGCTGGTGGTTTCTGCATCAAAGGCCAGACAGAGCTCAGTTTGCTGAAGAAGCAGAAGGTGACACAGTTCCCCTTGAACAAATAAAGGAATGAGTTCAGAATATTTATCAGAGGAGAAGACAGACAGGAAGGAGTGTTTCCCTTGATGAAGGGTCACTGCCCTGGTCTCCAGCCCTATCTTCAGCAATCCTGCTTGCATAGAAAGGCTGGTTTGCTATTGAACATCCCCCATTTCATATTCAGATTCCATTGCATTCACAAGGATCTCGTAGTCTATGTTTTCCTCATAGACGTTCTCTTTCATAGGATCCATCAAGCAATGGTTTTTGGCCGAGGATCCTCCCTCTTCATACTTGCACGTGCCATTGACTCCTGAACAAGTCTGTCTTTTCACATCACTCCTCGAGTTATGACTGAAACAAAAGTCCAACATTAATAGGATGAAAAAGCCAGGGGAGAGTCGTCATCCCAGAGTGGGATCTCATTTACACCACAGCAAGCTAAATTCAGAGTCATTCCACTCACTTCAGTGACGTGACTCTGGATTTGCAGTGGGGTATTTGAGATCAGTCTCTGGTCCTCTGCTTGTTCACAGAGGAATATTAGCTGTTGAATAACACAGATCCGTAGGCAGGAATTTCTGTGGCACGGGGCTTTTTTTGTAAATGTGGACTGCAAGGATGTGAACACCCCTATGGTTCCCCAAGTAAGCGGGCAAATCAGCCCCAGACTTCCCCTGGCTGCTCAGAGTATGGGGGAAGGAGGCTTCTCCTGGCTGACTGGAGCTTGCTTACTTAGGGAACAATGGGGGAGGGCTGCTTTTGCATCCTTCTCACCCCCCGACCCTCTCCATATATGGGCCTGTAACGAAACACATGATACTAATCCAGGGACATTATGGGAGGCTGATATGCAACAATGACGAGAGAATTACACACAAAAAAGAGGCAACCATGAACAATCAGCTGAGTATTTGGCCCCATAGTGAGATGACATTGCCACTGACCTGAACGGGGCTACACCAGTGGGCATTTTGGTTGTTAGAGAATAAGGGATAGAACAAAAAGTGGATCAATTGCAACCCAGGGACCAAATGCAGCTGATAAATTCTCCAACGTGGCCTGTGTTTGGCCAGATCTTTACAATGAATGTGCAGCCTATCAAGAGAAGTCCCGGCATGCAATGCATAATACTGGTCAGAGTTAGATGTTATTTTAACATACTGCTGTACAAACATCACTGATAGCACTGGGTAAATTTCATTGGCCACATTGCAACATACACTTTTTTGATCACTTTCATTGGCAGCTGGATAGTAGCTCTGGGTATGTCTACACTACAAAGTTAATTCGAACTAACAGCCGTTAGTTCCACGAGGACTAAGCCTAGTTCGAACTAACTAGTTCGAATTAAGGGCTGTGTAGCCACTTAATTCGAACTAGTGGGAGGCTAGCCCTCCCCAGGTTTCCCTGGTGGCCACTCTGGCCAACACCAGGGAAACTCTACTGCCCCCCTCCCGGCCCCGGAGCCCTTAAAGGGGCACGGGCTGGCTACGGGGCCCGTGCCAGGTGCAAGCCTGCCAGCACCCAGCCAGCAGACCCTGCACCTGGCACGGATCGTGTCAGCCACCCGATGCCCCCCAGCCCTCCCCCTCTTCCCGGGACCAGGCTGGCGGCTCCCGGGAGCCTGCCCAGGACCGCAAGAGGCGGGCGCCCGCCTGGTCTAGTGCAGACATCGTGGACCTCGTCCACGACCTCCGCACTAGGCACAGGAAAGTGGCCGGCTAGGGCAGGATGGCTGCCAGCCTGGCCACCCAGGAGCAGGTTTGCATGAAAATCAGGGTGGTCCACTGAGACCCCTGACCCTAAGCCCTGAACTTAGAATGGCCGTACTGGGTCAGACCAAAGGGCCATCTTGCCCAGTAGCCTGTCTGCTGACAGCGGCCAACACTAGGGACCCTGGAGGGGATGGACGGAGGACAATGACCAAGCCATTTGTCTCATGCCATCCATCTCCAGCCTTCCACAAACAGAGGCCAGGGACACCATTCCTACCCCCTGGCTAATAGCACTCCAGGGACCCAACCACCATGACTTTATCTCACTTCTCTGTAAACTCTGTTCTAGTTGTAGCCTTCACAGCCTCCTGCAGCAAGGAGTTCCACAGGTTGGCTATTTGCTTTGTGAAGAAGAACTTTCTGTTATTCGTTTGAAGCCTGCTACCCATTCCTTTCCTTTGGTGTCCTCTAGTCCTTCTATTATGGGAACTCATGAAGAACTTTTCTGTATGCACCCTCTCCACATCACTCGTGCTTTTATAGACCTCTATCATATCCCCCCTCCGTCTCCTCTTTTCTAAGCTGAAAAATCCCAGTCTCTGTAGCCTCTCTTCATATGGGACCTGTTTCAAACCCCTCATCATTGTAGTTGCCCTCCCCTCTCCCACCCTCTCTCTTCCCCTCTCCCACCTCCTTTTCCCAGTCTCCCCGAGTTTTGTTCAATAAAGAGAGTTTCTATTTTTGAACACACGTGTCCTTTATTTTGTACATCAGGAAGGGGGGCTAGGGAGGGGTAAGTGGAAGGAGGTGAGGGAGGAATGGGGCACGAGCCCCCAATGGGGAGGACTGGGGTGGCCCTGCAGGCTCCTCGGGGTGGAAACTCTCCTGTAGCTCCCCGATTAACCCCTCTCCCCAGATGGAAGCCTGCGGCAAGTGCAGCCGGGCTGATGTCTGAGTGCTGTGATGTGCCCAGTGTGGGCACTCAGGGCACTCCAAGCCAGGACTGCTTTGCAAGCAGGGAACCCCCTGAGAACTGTCTGTCCAGGGTGGGGGTTGGGTCCCTTTAAGCACAGCCTTCGGCTAGCCTGAGGCAGCAGCTCCACGCTCTAAGTCCTCATCTGATGCCCTGCCGGCACTGCTTCTGGCCATCCTTAACCCCAGTTCAGGGTCCACTTAATGTGGACATGCTAGTTCGAATTAGCAAAATGCTAATTCGAACTAGTTTTTAAGTCTGGATGCACTAATTCGAATTAGCTTAGTTCGAATTAACTAATTCGAACTAAGTTAGTTCGAATTAGCGCTGTAGTGTAGACATACCCTCTCGCATTACATGTTGTCCTTTCAATTGCCATCTTATCTTGTGTATTTGTGTTAGTGAATGGAAAAGTTGGACTCTGAGATTCAAATCTAGGATTATATACCAGGGCGTAATGGAAGGAGATTCACCAAAGGACTGTTTTGGATGAACATCAGGAAATGGTTCTTAACAGGGAGACCCATTCAACTGGGATACTATCCCAAGGGAAGAGCTGGAAATTCCTGTTCCTTAAATTCTAAAACACTGGGAATTCACTACAGAGAACAATTCTGCACTGATCTCTTTGGTGAAGGAACAGAGGATCCCAATAGTTTTTTTGTGACTAATTTTGATGAGTATAAAATATTATTCACAAACAACATTTCTATCACTGTGCCTGTGTGAATATCTAAACCCTCATACTGTACATCACATATACCATTAAGATATCCAATCCTTTCCTCCAGTATAATCAGAGGATATTCATTCTTAACTTAGCAAATAGTTTTCCTGCCACATAAATCAATATTACAACCCCAGATGTTCTCACAGCATGACAGATGATGACTCTTACTCACTATGTTACTTCATATGTATTATCTGAAAAAAAAATAAAAGACAAATGTGAATATTTTGCATTTTTATTACCCCATGAGCAAATAAGGATTATTAAATGGCACGTACATAGCATTACATAAAGTTTTAATAGCACTACAGAGACCTTAAATCATCTACTCAAGCACTTTACTATGTAGTAACTTTTTGTTTCCATTTTACAGATGGGAAAATGGAGGCACAGAGCGGTTATGTAGCCTGCTGAAAGTCACTGATGAGCAAGGATTAGAAACCAGGAGTTCTCACCTTCCAGCCTTGTGTTCAGTCTGTGACATTTCGCTGCCCTTCCCTGGCTGATATCTCTGTACAACAATTGTACATTCATAACTATCTAGCTTTGAAATTCCTATTTCTGAAATCAACACTGAAAGGCTACGTCTACATTGGCAAGATGTTGCACAAATACTTTTAACGCAAGAGTTTTTGCGTTAAAGTATTTGTGCAAGAGAGCGTCTACACTGCCATGTGCCTTTGTGCAAGAGATGTACTTTTGTGCAAAAGCATCCGTGCCAGTGTAGACGCTCTCTTGCGCAAGAAAGCACCGATGGCCTTTTTAGCAGAAGAAATTCATGTTGCCTGTCTACACTGGCCTCTTGCACAAGAATAGTTGCGCAAGAGGACTTATTCCTGAGTGGGAGCGTCATAGTTCTTGCTCAAGAAGCACTGATTTCACACATTAAAACGTCAGTGTTCATGCGCAAGAACTCCCCTCCAGTGTAGACAGGCAGCATGTTTTTGTGCAAAAGCTGGTGCTTTTGCTCAAAATCATGCCAATGTAGACACAGCCCATAACTCTTCCTTTTGGGACTGGATGCATTGTGCCTGCTCAGCTAAGAAGCAGACACTACAGTGGATTTAGCCTCTGGTGACTGGTTATTTGGTGCCCAGAAGCTCTATGTTCCCTCTCTTGGTTTCTTGTACGTAGGCAAAGGCTCCACCAAGTGAGGCAAGAGGAGCCAGTTACTCCCTGCTTCACCAGTAGGATCCACGCTGAGCTGGTCTCAGCTAGGAATCACCTATTCTTGCCACTACAGTCAGCAGGAGATATGCTTGTTGGCAGTTGGAACCTGCTTTTGGAGAATGGAATCTAGCAACCATATCTGGGGCACACACCTGCAAGATGTGCATTCACAGCCCTGCAATGGATAAGCAAAGGGCTCTCACTCAGTACAGTGCTCATTGATTATCTGTCAGTTCCCTTTTGTTGCTAGAACATGCCTGCCCCCTTGTGTTCAAATACAAGAAGTCACTCATTTTCCTTTAATTGTATTGCATCAGTATTCTTATTTCGAGACAGCACTTTCCATCCAGTCTGCCAGGTGAGGGAAAGCTGCTTGGAATATTCTTTCTTCTTACTGAATTTCCATGCAAGTAAGGTAGGCCAGTGAGTAGCCTATGGGTGGCCACTTGCCTGCTGGGAATACCCTACCTATCTAAATTAAAACAAAACACAGAACTATGCAGCACTTTAAAGACTAACAAGATGGTTTATTAGGTGATGAGCTTTCGTGGGCCTAATAAACCATCTTGTTAGTCTTTAAAGTGCTGCATAGTCCTGTCTTTTGTTTCAGCAAGACCAGACTAATACAGCTACATCTCTATTATTATCTAAACTGAGTGAGTTATGCCTAAATCTTGGGAGAAAAACCACATGCATCCAAAAGCACACCTCTCCCACATATCCCTCTCATGAGCTCAGATGAGATGTGTGTCAAACCCTTTGAGAAACATTTTAAGGTCTTTAAAGCAGATCCCAAAACCATCTCTGATACCTTTTGGTAGAATATTGGTCCCTTGCCTCAGAAATCCTCACCAGCAGTCAGCCTGTTATCCCAGAGAAGCCCCAAACTTCCCCAGCACCCCCACTCACCCTCCTTGGTCTTTCTCTTGTAGAAAACGACAGCAATGACAACAAACACCGCAGCTACACAGAGCACAGCAATCAGGATGATGAGATAGAGGGGCAGGCTGGTCCTCCGGAAATCTAGATCAAAACAGCACAAGCTGATGTTTCAAACAAGGAAGCAATTCTGCTTTGCAATTTATAACAACAGCCAGGACCTTGATGGTGGACATTTCCCTTGGGAGCTGAATGTACTGACTGAAGCCTAGGTTAGTATGCGGTTTATGTTTATGTTTGCGTCCCTTCCTCAAGCTGAGTCAGCCTCAGGTCAAGTGGCTCAGAGCAGAGGTAATGATTCGGTCAAATCAGCTGTCTCACAGTCGGACTTCCTGCACTTGCCTCTTGCTGCGATACTGGGCCTCATTGTGGTTCTTGGTCAGCATCTCCACTTAGACGTAAAAGGAAGCCACAACTCACGGACAAAATAGGAGCTGTGCAGAGCTGCACAAAATGTTCACGTGCAAACACCAAACCATACAAAAATCATCTGGTTTGGGGCTTCGTTAAAATGTTAGCTTCAGCTCATCTCAGACAAAAAGTCAACAAGGGTCAATGACATTTTGAGACATACTGAGTTTTGCCACAAAAATCTTCACTGAAAAACTAGGTAAATCACGACAGTTTCCGCTGATTTTAACTTGGAGATTTTCAGTACTTTTGAATCCTGAAACTCAAAGCAATTATCAGGATCTAAATAAGCCCACATGGGCTGGAGGCTGGGAAGGACGTGCTATTTAACTAATCATCTAGAGAAGCAAAGTGTGAAATTCTGAATTTTTTTATGACATTTCATTTCCCTAGAACAGAATCTACGATCAGGTGTCAGTGCAGAATCTCCACCTTGACTTTTTGCCCTTTCTACGTAGCCTCCTTTGCCCGTCGTCACTTCATGTGTCTCTGGAAGTCTCATGTCACTCCCAGTTGCCAGGGTTCTGCTCACATCTGCAAATAAAGCAAGGGTTGGGTGATCATTATGGTGTGTGAGTCATTCAGCATCAGAAAGAAATTTTATTCTGGCCCTGCAGTTGCAAGACTGGAGAGCATTATCCTGTTTAGCTGAATAAGACAGTGAAACAAACCCTTTGGACCCAGTGCTGCCCATCCATCTGCCAGCGTGATGGCCTCTTGTGGCTGGAAAGGCCTTGCTGGGATAACTTCCAACTTCTGCAAACAGGTTGTTTGGCATGTTTCTGCAACATACTTAGCCCCACAAAACACTAGGGCAGGGATGAGGAACCCTTTTTGGGTTGTGGGTTGCTGGCCCACAGAAAAATCAGTCAGGAGCCGCACACAAATGAGAAACCCCCCCCCCCCAAAAAAAACCCTCTTCACTGCCCCGGACTGAGAAGCAGAAAGAGACTCCCCAGATTCACTTCACACACCAGAGCCTAGGGTGGCCCAGGCTAATAGATTTGTGTGCTCCAGCTCCACAGGAGGAGGGGGAGGGGCTGGAGTTCCAGCATGGGCTCCCCAATGCTGGGGGTGGAGCCCTCAGACTTGGGGCTGGATCCAGGCAAGCCGGGGACTGCATCCGGTCCCTGGACCTTAGGTTCTCAACCCCTGCACTAAAGTGATAGGAGCAGGATAATGCCTCTGATGAAGTTCTGCTGTACCAAACAGAGCTAAGGAAATCAATAACTCCCATAGGCATGTCCTCCCAGGTGTGACAACAGCTGCCATTCCAGGGAGGCAGTAAACAAGTAGCCCAGTAGTACGAGGATATGTCTCCCAAGGAGCAAGAGAAGTCACCTAGGGAAGCAGAGGTAATGTCCAGCAACCCATGTGCCTCAGCTAAAAACTGGCTGTAAATGAGTAGACGTGTCAAGTCAGATCCTCCTCTATATCATTCACCCACAAACACAATGAAAATATAACTTCACATTCCCTCTCTCAGCAGTTCCCCTCTGAGCAGCCTCACCTTTTTCTGAGGCAGGCTTGGCTGTGGTGTGTGCCGTGGTCTCAGAGCTGGGTACTGTGGTTGCTGGTTTTCTGAGATCTAAGAGAGAATGACCATGCATCAGATTCTGCTGCTTCTATCATTTGGATGAATACAAAATCTTTGGGAGGGATGTTTGAAGCCTCTCATAGTGCACTCTGTTCTGCAATGCTATCCCACGGAGGGGGCATGGCATTTCTGTGACCTCAGAAAGTGAACTGAGGAACCATGAGGATTGACAGTCATTTTTTATTCACCCCAACTAGTGTTGTTATAAATATCGAATCCCTTTTAAACTCTCCCTCCCAACCATTTGCTTCAGCCTGCAGTTAGAAGCATCTCAGAGACCGAGCACTAGTTTGGGGCACTTACCCACCACAGTCAGCTGCTCTGTATTACTCTGCTCTATTACTTGGGAGGGTGCTGTGTTTTCTGCCTCGCAGTAATATTTCCCCGTGTCAGACATTTGCAGAGAATCAAACATGAGTACGGCGTGATTGCTCACGTGCACCGCCTTTCCTCCAGGCTCTCCCTTGAACCAGCGGTAGATGATAGGTGGGGACCCATTGGCAGAACAAGTCAGGCTGGCGCTAGCCCCTTTCGGTACGGTGAAGCCCAGATTGCCCGGTTTGATGATGGGTTTAGTCACTGCAACTGAAGGAAAAGGAAAGGGATTTGGGTCAGTAGTTAAGAACTTCACAGCATTCATCACCACACAATTTTGACAAGGTTCAATGCCCCTGTTTATGGCTTATGTTTCATGCCTATACATTTTTGGAGCAGTCATCTATTTTGAAAAAAGATTACATGGGGAATAATAGGACTGTTTGGCTACGTCTACGCTGCAAGCTTCTTGTGCAACAACTGTTTTGTGCAAGAGTTCTTGTGCGAAAGGTCTTCCACAAGAGTATGCCCACACTGCCATGTGCTTTTGTGGAAGAGATGTGCTTTTGCGAAAGAGTATCCATGGCAGTGTGGACGCCCTCTTGTGCAAGAAAGCTCTGATGGCCATTTTAGTCATAGGGTTTTCTTGTGCAAGAAACCCATGTTGCCTGTCTACACTGCCTTCTTGTGGAAGAGCTCTTGCGCAAGAGGGCTTATTCCTTGTGGGGAGAGGAATAATTCTTGCACAAGAAGCCCTGTTTTCTAACGCTTTACTGTTAATTTACTTGCTCAAGAACGTGCGTGCAGTGTAGACGCTCTGCAAGTTTTTGCGCAAGAACACCTGTTCCTGCACAAAAAGCCTGCAGTGAATACGTAGCCTTTGTGTATATTTGTTTTAACATGTTAAGTTTAAAAGAAAATAAGATTTTTATTATTTACATATTCTTAGAGAAAAATAATTGTATTGGTTTTCCAAAGCACATGATCCCAATTGTGACCCAAAAAGGAAAAATGTAAAAAGAAGAGTTTTAACCCTTTAAAAAGAGATATGTTAACCAGTCTTTTTAGAGAAAAAAGACACATTTTTAAATCAATGTATTAAATATTAATTTTAAAAGAAAATGTTATTTATGCACTTTTATTATTTTCCTATAAAGTTTGAAAAATAATTGTGTTCCTTTTGAAATAAAGAATAGAACATGCATTTTTAGAAAAAATAAGAGGCAAAGTGAGAGAGAACAGCTGAAAAAAGCAAAAGCATCTTAGGCTGTTACAGAACAAAGGAAAAATAAAGGGCTGTTTGGGGAGAGGAGAGATAGAGATGTAAAGTAGCAAGGCCTCTTTTACTGAACAAATTATAATGATGGGAGAAGAGAAAACCACATAATCCCTGTAGCTACCTTAAGGATCCTCCTACTAAGTGGGTTAGACCAAGGAAAGTTCCAGGAACCATGTACAGGGTACTCTGCCCAGAAACCGCGAGACCACATGTGGAGCAGGGTGTGACTGCTGGTGGCCTCTGTAGCTGGAGCAGGTCTGTGTAGGACTTGTGGGGCTGCAATCCAGGCTGGGCAGAAAACTGGCGCAGAGAGGCCTTAATGAGACACACGTCACCAACCGATTGTGGCCTGGAAACCTACAAGCTCTTGTTTGCTTTGAACAAAAGTCTAGACTGGAGAGACCAGCCCAGGCAGTAAATCTGAAGAGTCTGAACCCTCAGTTTGAAGTCCTCTCCCCCTGTAACTCTAAGAACAGCCATTGCCTCACTGAGTCACTGTTTTAGTCTCAGGACCTAGAGTATTTTCAAACTTTCCCTTTCTTGCCAGCCCCAGTCAAATACCCTTTCACTGTAACCACGTGTTTGAGAAGTTACTGGTACCTGCCTAGACAAGATCCAGCAGTTGAATCACAGTCAGGCTGTGTCCAGACTCAGGGGTTTTTTTCGGGAAAAGTAGCCTTTTTCCGAAAAAACTTCACCTGCGTCTAGACTGCAGCCGCGTTCTTTCGAAATTAAATCGAAAGAACGCGGCTTTTCTTTCGACGGTGGTAAACCTCATTTCACGAGGAAGAACTCTTTCCGAAAGAAGACGTTCTTGAATATAAATAGGGCTTCTTCGAAAGAGAGCATCCAGACTCACTGGGTGCTTTCTTTCGAAAAAGCGGCTTGCTCTTTCGAAAGTTCCGCTTGCAGTCTAGACGCTCTCTTTCGAAAGAGGCTTGCAGTCTAGACATAGCCTCAGGTCTTTCCTTTGCACTGCAGGGCACCTGGCAGCCAGCTAACCTTTGTGTTCCACCCTGCTGAGCAACTGTAACAATTAACGTTTTCCTGGGGATACTGGGGATGATTGAGAGTGGGAGAAAGTGCAGCTAGGGTCTGCTCCATGATAGGCATGAATACCTCTGGCTTGATTCCCCCTCATTAGGGTGGGGCTAATGTCAGTGCAGGGAGGAAGAGGCACAAGAATCCGTGGGAATGCTGGCCCCAACTCTGTGGATGTGGGGGGTCAGCGTGGTGTGCACTCCCTACCACATTATTCCCTGAAGCTCCATCCCCACCTGCTCTTTAGCCAGCTTAGTCAAGTGCTTTGGGTACGTCTAGACAGTGGGGCTATTTGGTATCCTAAAAGAGCTACCCCGTGTCTTTTAAATGTGCCCATTATTTCAAAATATTTTTTGAAATAGTGGGTACATTATTTTAGCATCCCTCTAACCCTCGTGAAATAGTGTGTTATTTTGAAATTTGCTGTGTAGACGCGCCAAATTTTGAAATATGCTATTTTGAAATATAATATGCAATTGCATAGTACAAACTGTGTATCTTATTTTGAGTTTAGGGTGCTGTGTAGACACGCTCTTAATGACTGGCAAATGATACATAGTGCAAGGGTTTATTTACTGCATTTACCTTTAACAACCTTAACTGTAGTGGTTATCTCCTTTGTTAGCAGGCTGTTGTCCTGGGCTCTCCAGGTGACTTTGCAAGTGTAGTGTCCACTGTCTGGGATTTCGAGTTTCTCAACTTCAAGAGAGACATCCCCTGGCTTGTATTTTGGGACGCTGATCCTATCTCTGTGCCGTGACAACATGATGTGATCCCCAGAGCTATCCCTTCGAAAGATGGTGGCAGGGCTTTGATCTCGCTCCAGGGTCCAAATGACTGTTTGCTGTACAAAGTCCTGGGAAGGAGTGTAGACGCATGGCAAGGTGATAGAACTCTTCCATGTGCCTTTAATGTCATGGGTGCCCGTCAGTTCCAGGACAGCTGTAGGAAGCCGAAAATAAGGGATGGAAATAAAAGTGGAATGAATATCAGCAACACCAACCAAACACCACACAATCCTGGATATGCCGCCAGATTGAGCCCACCAAACCACTGATGCAGAGAGTCTCTCTCGACAGCCATATGTGCTGTTTGTTTTACCATCTGAATCCAGGACTGCCAGTCATACCATTGACTGCCTTCTGGAGCCTGAACACTCCTGCCAGCTCTGATTATTTTTGTTGCTTGTCTGAACTTTTTCCCGCTTTCAATACCTTTCTCCTAAGGAGATGTAATAGATCTGAATGCAACATCCCCACAGACCCACAGTAAGGGGCACCATTGCCTCCTTTTCTTAGGCAGCAATGTGAATATGTAGTCACAAAGTACAATTGGTTCTTTTGGATCTTTGAGCTCCAAGGAGTTCTTTAGTTTTCTGCTTGGAAAGTTCCTTTCATAACATGACTAGCCATTGCTCCTATCACCCCTTCCACAAAGCTCTCTATCATGTATGGGAGGAAGAAGGGGGGAAAGGGTCAGTCCCACTGCTCTAATGCCTTTGAAGTATGCAGGGCCAAATTCTGCAATTAGCTGCACCAAGAGAAATCCAAACTATCGTAGGTTTTACTCTGCATTTACCCCAGAAAATCTGAGATCAGAACCCACCCCTTTGCATTGGTATTCAACCGGGAATTTGGAGAGCAGAGATGGAAACTTTAAGAGTGAAGAGACTTCCCACTGGAGCATTTCCATTTGTTTCTCAAATGTTGTGCAGAGTCTTGTAGTAGTTTTCCTTGAATATTGTGAAATTCTTATCAACAGTTATAAAGGTTTTCATATCACAGAATCATAGAATACTGGGACTGGAAGGGACTTCGAGAGGTCATCGAGTCCAGTCCCCTGCCCTCATGGCAGGACCAAATACTGTCTAGACCATCCCTGATAGACATTTATCTAACTTATTCTTAAATATCTCCAGAGATGGAGATTCTACAACCTCTCTGGGCAATTTATTCCAGTGTTTGACTACCCTGACAGTTACACACTTTTTCCTAATGTCCAACCTAAACCTCCCTTGCTGCAGTTTAAGCCCATTGCTTCTTGTTCTATCCTCAAAGGCCAAGATGAACAAGTTTTCTCCCTCCTCCTTATGACACCCTTTTAGATACCTGAAAACTGCTATCATGTCCCCCCTCAGTTTTCTCTTTTCTAAACTAAACAAACCCAATTCTTTCAGCCTTCCTTCATAGGTTCATGTTCTCTAGACCTTTAATCATTCTTGTTGCTCTTCTCTGGAGCCTCTCCAATTTCTCCACATCTTTCTTGAAATGTGGTGCCTAGAACTGAACACAATACTCCAACTGAGGCCTAACCAGTGCAGAGTAGAGCGGAAGAATGACTTCTTGTGTCTTGCTCACAACACATCTGTTAATGCATCCCAGAATCATGTTTGCTTTTTCTGCAACAGCATCGCACTGCTGACTCATATTCATATAACTCATATGACTCATATAACCTCTAGATCCCTTTCTGCCATATTCCTTTCTAGACAGTTGCTTCCCATTCTGTATGTGTGAAACTGATTGTTCCTTCCTAAGTGAAGCACTTTGCATTTGTCTTTATTAAACTTCATCCTGTTTACCTCAGACTATTTCTCCAATTTGTCCAGATCATTTTGAATTATGACCCTATCCTCCAAAGCAGTTGCAACCCCTCCCAGCTTGGTATCATCTGCAAACTTAATAAGCATACTTTCAATGCCAATATCTCAATCATTGATGAAGATATTGAACAGAGACGGTCCCAAAACAGACCCCTGCGGCACCCCACTTGTTATACCTTTCCAGCAGGATCGTGAACCATTAATAACTACTCTCTGAGTATGGTTATCCAGCCAGTTATGCACCCACCTTGTAGTAGCCCCATCTAAGTTGTATTTCCCTATTTTATTGATAAGAATATCATGCGAGACCGTATCAAATGCTTTACTAAAGTCTAGGTATACCACATCCACCGCTTTTCCCTTATCCACAAAACTCGTTATCCTATTAAAGAAAGCTATCAGATTGGTTTGACATGATTTCTTCTTTACAAATCCATGCTGGCTGTTCGCTATCACCTTACCTCCTTCCAAGTGTTTGCAGATGATTTCCTTAATTACTTGCTCCGTTATCTTCCCTGGCACAGAAGTTAAACTAACTGGTCTGTAGTTTCCTGGGTTGTTCTTATTTCCCTTTTTATAAATGGGCACTATATGGGCACTATATTTGCCCTTTTCCAGTCTTCTGGAATCTCTCCTGTCTCCCACGATTTTCCAAAGATGATCGCTAGAGGCTCAGATACCTCCTCTGTCAGCTCCTTGAGTATTCTAGGATGCATTTCATCAGGCCCTGGTGATTTGCAGGCATCTAACTTTTCTAGGTGATTTTTAACTTGTTCTTTTTTAATTTTATCTTCTAAACCTACCCCCTTCCCACTAGCATTCACTATGTTAGGCATTCCTTCAGACTTCTCGGTGAAGACCGAAACAAAGAAGTCATATGCTCTCAGCACTGGCCGTTTAGAATTCTAATGTCCAGTGCATAGCATCTAATACAGTGATTCTCAAACTGCGGTCCACAGAGGCTGCCTTCCAGGTGAACTGCGGTTAGAGCTCAACTCCCCCCCTTCCACTCTCCCTCCCTCTCGCCGCAGCAAGGGGCCCTCACTGGTGGTCCAGCTGTATCCTCCCCTCCCCCCAGCCCTGCGAGGTTGGAGCTCCAGTGCTGGCTTCCCTTGGGGGTGGGTGGGTGAGGGGGAAGAGCCCCAAGCCTCCTCACTGGATCCACCTCGTGGGGAAGAAGTGGAGCAAGAGGTGACTCCGTGCACTGCTGCTTGCCCTCCCCCTTCCCTGGCTGGAAGAAACAGCAGTGCACTGATGTGCTGCCTGGAGGCTTTCCCCTCTGCTCCCATTGGCTGGAATCTGGTCAATGGGAGCAGCAGGAGGCCGTGTCTCAGACACGATGCCCGGGAGAGGTATGTGGCATGAAAGCAAGTAAGTGCCCCCCCTTATGACCAGAACCTGCACCCCTACCATGCTTCTGCACCACTCCCCTCCAAGATTCCACATCCCCAGCCTGCTCCTGCACCCTTCCTCCTGGCCAGACATCCTACCCCCACCTTTCTGCTGCACCCTCCCTTGTTCCTGCACCCTTTCTCCTGGCCACATACGGCACCTTCCTTTGCTCTTGCGCCCCCCAGACACCCTTCTTCCAGACTGCTCCTGCATCCCACAGCCCACCCAGACCATGCACCCTCACCCCCCCGTATCACACCTCCTGCCTAAACCTTACACCTTCACCCCCTCTTATCTCCCACCTCCCGTGCAGATCCTGCACTCACCCCTATCCCACTCACTGGCAGCCATGTCCCACACACTAAACTCCTCATTTTTGTCCCCATCCCAGAAGCTGGTGGTGGGGTCCACAAAATCCACTAACTCCAAAACCGCAGATGAGTAAATCCAGCCCATGGGAAGCCCTGAACTTCAGTCCTCCCTGTCCCTCCTCCTTGCGCCACGGGACTGGAGCACCAGAGGAGTGAGGTGTCTTAGTTGGGGGCCACATCAGTGAGTTTTGGGGGCTTATCAAGGGGTTTTTTTTGCTTCTCATTTGTGTGGTCTCCAACTGATTTTTCTGTGGGTCAGTTGTCCCTGACCCAAAAAAGGCTCTCTACACCTGTCATAAATAAAAAAAACATTGAAACCTTTTGTGTTGGACATGAATTAATATTTTACTTTATTTAAAATGATGTTTGATAAACTAATATGAGAAAGTTAAAGCAGTTTATCTGTTTAATAATTTTATATTTCCTTTCTTACTGATTAAATTAAACCATTCTCGCTAGCTACAGCACTAGCAAAATGGCTCGGGCATAATTCTGTAATTAACAGCAAGTTTCTATTAGCAACTGGTGGTCCATGGAAAGTTTGCATTGAGCCAGGCGGGCCACAGGCCAAAAAGTTTGAGAATTACTGGTCTAAGGCATTAAAGGGACATAAAAGCCATATTATTCAGCAGACACACTATCAAACAAATACAACGCACCAGAGCCTCAACTGGTATGAATCTGTATAGCCCTGTTAAGACAAATGACTCTACTGAGATCAGTAGAGCAACACTGATTTACAGCAAGCTCAGGATCTAGCATTTTAATACATGCAACTGAAGACTGAATACCCATGTCTATGAATCAGTTATGGAGAATTCTTGAGAAAACTAGGACAATGAGCCAATCTCAGGACATTCTGTGCCAATAATAAAAGCCTGCACACAATATTTTGAAGTTCTGCAACATTCTGCAAATTTGATTTGTCAGATAAATGTGGAGGCTCCAGTTTGGTATTGGGGAGCCCAGGCCACTGTCTGCACAGAGGTGGGAGATCACTCTTCAGCTTCCCTGGCACTGGACACAGACTCAGAGTTGGGGCTGCACCCGATCCTGATACAGCGTAAGGACCAGGCCTGCCCAGAAATGCCCCAGGGCTCTGCCCATCCATGCCAGGTCCACTAGGTGAGAGCAGGAAGGTTCAACAAGGCAGGATCCAGGTGTGGATGGGGTTTTATGAGATGGATGATCCAGTTGTGGGTTGAGCAAATTCCGTTTGGGGCTATCTTGGTATGGAAAACTCAGTGGAGGATCTGGGTGTGTGGCGATCTGGATGCACAGGGGTTTGTTGGGGGATTCTGGATACAACAGTAATGGGACTCTGAAGGGGGATCCAGGTGGAGGTGGCTGGGGCTCAGCAGGGATTCTGGTTGTGAGGTGGGATACAGCTCAGCAGGGAGATCTGGGCATGGGGAGTCCAGATGCTGGGGGACTGGGGCTCAACGTGGTGGGGTAGGGATCCAGGTGCAGCTGGTAGGGGCTAAGCGGGGTGGGGATCTGGACGGATCAGTGGGGTTGAGCAAGCACAAGGGATTTGGAGTTCATAAGGGAGGTGCTGAGTGCAGAGAGATGAGGCTCTGTTGGAGGGACTGGGCATAAGGAGGTCTGGATGCATGAGCTTGGGCAGATGGGGGAGGAACTCCTGGTCTGCAAGAGGGTCTGACCCAGTCCTGGATGCTATATATGGAAAAAGAAAGTCATATCCCTGCCAGACCATTCAGGACTAGCAGCTGAGCCTGGTGAAAGATAGGAGCCACCAGTCAGGTCTTCCCTAGTCCCTCCCCCATCCCACACAATTCACCTCTCTTGCAGCTTCACTGGGCACCCAAACATACTTCTTGGGAGGGTTGCATGACTGGTTTTGTGGATTTCCCATCAAAAGTCATTTTTCTGTGATGAAGCAAAGAAATCTGTGGGTAACCTGAATTCTGTGCATCTGCAGTGGCACAGAATTCCCCCAGGAATAAATGAGCAGCACCAAAATTAAAAAGAAGAGTCTTGTTTATAATCTAAACTAGAGCAATGTTGACTGAGTCATTATCAAGTTCCTGGTACTACAGAGTTCTTTGGCTTGGCATTATATGTTTGTGGTGGGTCTCTGCCAACTTCTTATCTCCAGCATTGCCGTGCCAGGTAACTATTTTTGCCTGCTTGCTGACAGTCTCCCCAGAGAAGACAAGGATGAACAGCCCATAGAGAGTAGATTCCCCTCTCATCCCACAAATCACACATGTCCCAGACCAACTGACATCAAGGGGAATATTCATGGAATTTGGGTTGCAGGGACTGGGTTTTCTAACAGTTAGAACAAGCCTCAAACATTATTAGAGATAATATGCCAGATACAAAGACTGGATGCATTCTTTAGGAGCTATGTCTACTTCAATGAAAGACATTTCTGAATCTGACACTTAATGAAAGCCTAGATTCAGATTCAGAAAAAAAATCTCCTTGAATAATGCAATAATTAAAACTGAATTGAGGGCAATACAAATCTGGTCATACAAAGGCCAAATTATGGACATTGATTTTCAGAAACTTTGTGAAAAGTCTCCAAAACAGAATACAACATAGCAGCAACAACAAACAAACAGCAAAAATTTACTCTAAACTTTGTTCACGAAAAGAACAAGAAGCAAACATATTGTTGGAACTAGCTGGATACAAATAGAAAATTTGAAAACAGGAAGTGGTGAACATAGCAGCCCTAAGTGGAACCTTTTCCAGCTGGGAAGAGCTTACGCTTAAGAGTCAGCTTTAGGAGTTCTTTTATTTATCTGCAAACTGGACTAGAGTGAAATACATACAAGGAGAATTTCGAAACTTCCAAATGTTTTTAAAGTCCAAGTTATCTTAGAAATGAAGAATGCGGCAGTTAGATTCAAAGAGGCCTTTTACGTGAACTGAATAGCAAAAAACAAATATAATGTAAGGAGCACAGATAATAGCCATGTTGGAATAGAAGAGCTGAGATATAACATAAATACTAAATGGGAAAGCCCTGCAATATGCTCAGAACTAACTGGCAGTGGAATTCCTCAGTTTGTATGAGTTGAACAGGGTCAGACCTGGGAAACCTCCAAGGAAAGTAGCTAGACTATACTGGTAATTTATAGAACCAGTCAGCTGGTCCTTGGCTCATGGTAAAGAGGGACATATTTTTAATAATAATAATAAAAAATTGCATTCTCCTACCTACTGACCTAGCTGTATTTTAAGGATCCTATGTGTTTTGTCCCATCCCTATTGTCTTTCAGGTAATGTTAACTGGAAACTTTTAAACTTAGAGGCTGTGTCTACATTGGCATGATTTTGTGCAAAAGCACTTGCTTTTGCGCAAAAACTTGCTGCCTGTCTACACTGGCGGGGAGTTCTTGCGCAAGAACACTAATGTTCTAATGTATATTCATTATCAGTGGGAAATAGGTTAATGGAGGGATGATAGGAATTACTAGAGAACTTTCTGGGTGTCTGGCTGGTGAGTCTTGCCCACATGCTCAGGGTTTAGCTGATCGCCATATTTGGGGTCGGGAAGGAATTTTCCTCCAGGGTAGATTGGCAGAGGCCCTGGAGGTTTTTCGCCTTCCTCTGTAGCATGGGGTACAGATCACAGCTAGAGGATTCTCTGCATCTTGGGGTCTTCAAAGTATTTGAAGGCTTCAATATCTGAGATATAGGTGAGAGGATTATTCTGGGAGGGGTGGGTGAGATTCTGTGGCCTGCACTGTGCAGGGGGTCAGACTAGATGATCATAATGGTCCCTTCTGACCTTAAAGTCTATGAGTCTATGGCTACGTCTACACTGGCCCCTTTTTCGAAAGGGGCATGCTAATTTTAAACTTTGGAATAGGGAAAACCACAG